ATTTCGAAGGTATCGCAAAAATTTAAAACTCTCACCCGTTCATATATTTTTGAGACTGCAATTGGTTCGCTTTCCTTTTCGAAGTGCATAGTTTCTCTTTTCCGCGCACTCGACAGCTATAATATCCGTTATGGAGAGGTTCGAGGAAGAGGTGGAGGGAATTTTGGCGGAGGGGTTGCGACACCGAGAGTGAGACGGTAACGAGTGCCCCGCCATTTTGAAAGCACGGGAGCACGGCATAATTACTGCCTTTGTTTCGAACAATTTATATTAAAATGGAAAGCAATCTGCATTTGCAAATTAAATGCGCGCCGCGCGCTTCCCGTCCGCGTTCACCGGGCTTGAGCCCGGGTCGCGGAGGAGGAAAAGGGGGAGGGGGTGGATTATCGTGATGAAGAGGAGGTGGATGGGGTGGTTACCGCGGGCGGCTCGTGTAAAATCAAGCGGAGGCTTCTGCTGTGTTAATTGCACGCTGGTTATCCATTGCCTCTCCGCCATTCCACGTTGTTTCGCGATACCACTGGCCACCTGATATTCTGTTCTGCCGCGGAATCGAGCCGCCACCGTTGCCGTTGCATCAAACGATTAACAGTTTATTCGCGGAGAACGGAATAGCGATTGATTGTTTTAAGGGGAGGCAAAGTACAAGAAACCTTCTCATCTCGCGCTGATCGGCAATCATCATGTCATTCGAGTCGGCATAATTCTTATTAAAAGGAATCTAAATATCGTCGGTTTTTTACAAGATTAAATATTGATAAAGGAAGAGATAAATAATATAATAATCTAGGAATTAAATACATTTTATTATTACGGCAGATAATAATAAAATCAATTAATTATATACTAAAAATGCATGAAAATTTGGAAAAATCGCAGAGCACACAAAATTGCGAGGAACTTCCCTCCAATATTTTTTTTTTTTTTTTTTTTTTTTCCTTTTGCATCCCTGAGAAATTTTCGCGGTGATCGACTAATTAGCGGTCTGATCGAGAAAGGCTAATGGAGGTCATGTTCAAGTCATGGAACGCTTCTTGACTTCTACCCTCGGTAGTTCACGTGGATATACCTGAGGTAGTTAGTAGCGTGTAATAAATGCCCGCACATCGCGCTCCGTTATACAAGTCGAATACAAGTGTGTAAACGTGTAGCTCTCTAATAGCGATCGCGAGATTCTCGCCGCTGATGATTGTTCACTCTCTGCAATTTCGGTTTAAATCCACGTGTAAACTTAATAACCAGCAATAATATTCGTCGTACAAGTAACATAAAAGTCACGAAGAAAAACGATATTTTTTAAATACGAAGAACACTTATATATAAATCTTTTTCTTCTTAATACTCTATTCATTACTTTATCCCTCATTACACTATTTTATCCATCTGTTTTATATTATTACGGTTGTATTCTTTATTTTTATCTTCTTACAATATATAATGTTTTATGGAAATGAATATTTTATCAATGAATAAAGTATAAATTCATTTTTTCGTAAAATATATATCAGAATCTAATTCGAATAATCTGCGACATTTTTAAAATTATTCACTAAATGTCTATTTCTGCAGACATCACATCGATCAATTTATTATTATAGTGATTCAGTATATCCACGACATATCGGAATTTTTAAATAATTTATTTTATATACCAATTTCTATTTTAACACCAAAAATATCACATCGCATAAAGATATGACAAATAGAGAGGCAGCAAAAGTAATTGTGCGAAATGTAATCACTAGCAATTGCTTGTCGCGTGTTTTCGCGAGTATTTAAGAGAAAATTCAAATTAGCGTAAAAAGGCGGTGTAATATTAAGAGACGCAATATCATATTAATCTTATTGATCTCTTTTAATCAAATCCAAATGCAAATAATAAGCATAAACACTCACGCGTAACCAGCTAAAAAGCTTCAAAATCGCTTCACGCGATAGTTTACACGAGCGCTTGATCTCTCCTCTCTCAGCCCCTTTTTGTTGACCCAATACATTCCCGGGATTATACGGTTTAAGGAACCTCGCGTGCGTGCACGTATGCACGAATATGCAGGTGCACTTAGCTTCCTGATGCCGCGGGCGTCGTTCCCGATGTCGGATGATGCCTCGGGCGCGCTTTACCCTCGAGATTCCTTTCCGCATGGAGAGGAGAAGCGTTCCTTGGGATCTCGCATTCTTTTGCGGGGATCTAGCTTTATATGCGGAGAACTCGTCTCTCGTTGTGTGGATTTTTTAGTGGTGCTTAAAAAAAAAAAAAAAAAAAAAAAAAAAATGCGCGGTATGGCGCATGCCGTAAGATGATTCACTTTTGGGACAAGAAGGAAGAAATTAAAAAAAAGTAACTGAGTTTTATTGCCTATGATTTTTCATGGCACGCACATAATGCGAAGAAACTTTTAGTAATCAAATAAAAAAATATTGAATCGATGAATTCAATATTTTATATATTATGATTCTCATAGATCTCTGTATTTATAATTTTCAAAACATTGAAAATGAAAAATAAATTCATCAAAAAATTGCTTTTTTTTTAATGAATTGGATTCAAATGGAGTTTATATAATTTATGCGGAAATTATTAAATCTTTTTTGAGTATATTATATTTCGATCAGAAATGTTTTATATAATCGATTGTCATTGATTATGGTTGGTTCAAGACCTTCCTTTGACATGGAAATATTTGCGCAAAATGGCGAGTTTTAGAACAGTGTACGTAAGGCGCAAAAAGAAATTCGAGTTACGTCGTAGGTATAGGCACGAAACAAATAAACTTTTCGACGCTTTTGCGGTAAGGTCTCCCCTACTTTTTCCTTCCTTCCTCTCGCATATTTCTGCTAGTTTCTGCCGATTTTTTCCACTGTTGGTTCTTTCATGTGTGCAGTAATTTTTCCGTCGCAAATAAACTATTTTGGCGCCGATTACAGTGAACTATATCCAGAAATATACGTTAACAATGAGTTGCCTAGAAAACATTTCGACTATGCTTTTTTTTCGTTAGTTTACCATTATAATTGCTAAGTTGCATATAATCAGAAATACAATTTTGGTGAATATATATATAAAATCTCTGTTAATATAATTAACAAAACTTGCCCATATTTAACGCATGTTTATTTTGTTATGCGGCATTATTCGTAAACGGTTATATTGTCCGACATAAATTTACTCTGATATTTTAAACACCTGTGAACAGAAAAGCAATTAGTGTATCGAAATAAATGAAAACTGACGCATCTGCGGAATGCTTCTGATTTAGGAATATTTCCGATGCCGTGTACACGCAGAGAGAGGTGTATTTCACAAAAAAAATCAACTTATTCGTTATGCCGTACGCCGAACGGGCGGACGTGAAATTGCAACAATTTCAAATTCGTGTACTATCCCTATGTCGAATATTTTTCGAAAAATTCGTCAAAGCGATGAATTATTCCGCGTTGCTTTTTTTTTATAGACTAGCAATAAAAAAAAATAGAAAACTGAAAGAACCAATCAAGCGTAAATTTGAATTATTTCAATTTAAAAGATAAAATGCAATACATCGTTATAACGAAACTTTCCGATACTTTGATATTTCGTTTTTAGTTAAGTGATATCAAAACAATCATAACAATTTTTTTTTATTTTGATAGTATTAATTTTTCGTGCATTGAAAATATTAGCAGTTTTATTATAAATTTTTATACTGATTTCTCTACTATTAATGTGAAGAAAAAATTTTGAACATTATCGAATTTTATTGATTTTATGAATTTTGATAATACTTATTGTGTATGAATGATAAATATTAAATTTATATGTTTTTAATCGTTACACATATCTCAAAGAACATAGTAGAAGCAATGTGAAATTCCACTATTGTGTCTATTTTAGTCTTTTGGCGGACTATTTTTTGTCTCCAATCTAATTTGTGGGGTTGAAAATTGACTTACGCCGCAACTGTGTCTACAACTCTCTAATAAATCTATATCGTTGTTATGTATATATATATACACAGCCACGCTGAAATATTTGTATGTTCGACAGTACTCCGTTTTCATGAAGGATTTTTTTTCGTGATCTATTTCATATAAAAATTTATTTTATTGTATGTATATATTGTAAACGAACGATCAGTCTTTTTAATTAAACAAAATTAAACGAAGATATTATCGACGTGCGTGTCATTCTGATGTAATTCAGAGGAATATGTGCTTACACATATTTGATATATACGTGCAGATACAGCTGTCTTATTGCTCTCCACGCTTTCCGGAGATGCTCGTAAGCGTAACCGCGGTCTGCTGCTCACCTCGCAACTTATAACGTGCCGATTTCACCGCAGAAACATTGCACGTGTGAAAGTCAGGACGTCCGGTCTTTTCGAAAGAAAAACTCACGCGCGGACATAATTATAACAATTCACTCTGACTGATTTTCGATTATAAATCATTCTCGTTTGGCGTGCAAACCAAAGCAAACCTTGAATTTTTTCTTTTTATTCAAACATTTCTTTATTCAGTATTTTTAGGCGAAATACAGCTCCTCAGAGAATGTAAGAGAGCGTTTCTCAATGAATATAAATCATTAATTAATTAAAATTATAATTTAATAGAATAACATTGAAATTTAAAAATGTTATATAATAGTGATAAATGTGTTTAATAATGCTTACAATTTTTAGGGAAGAGGATACAAATAGTATTTAAGAATGTAATGATTTATAATAATTGTTTGCTTTTCAGTATTACATAAACAGGATTGGATTTTTATTTTATATTTAAAAAGTTAAGTTAGAAAGTATATATAGGATACGAGAAATTATAATATATATTATTTTTATAGCAATTCCAGATTTTATTAGTACTTGATAAAATTATTACTTATATTTGAATAACACAATGAATATTTTTGTTTGTTTTTATAAATAACTATGACACTATACTTTTTAGTGAATTTTCGACAATCGTATAATACAATATTTATTTTAGTTTATATATGACGATCACTGTCTGCATTATAGGTGCACCCACGTCGCCGTCATCCTGACCTGCCCGAGAAATCCTCATGAAAGACTGGGAACTCAGTACTCAGAATAGCATCGGTATCGTAAACATTTCTTTTTTATTTTTTCCCTTTACATGGCTCGCCTCAATCGGGCCTTCTTTTTCGGAATAAATTATACTCTCTTTTTCTCTCTTTCTTATCTTTTGCATCTGTTTTCTTATTTAACTACGGGATACTGGGCGAAACATGGTGATGGTGTTAATATAACAAACGCATATTTTGAGTAGCGGTAACGTAATTATAAGTTATTAACGTAATAACGGTGAAGAATGAAATAATAACACGCTACAATCTTTATCTTACTGTATTATAATTTTGCAATATAATTTTATTATATCTTTTTGATTTTGGACAAAAGACATGAAAATATCTCTGATATTTAAAACCGGTATATATTTGTTTTCTATTATATAAAACTCGTTGGAAATGAGACACGTTCGCGGAATCCGCTAGTCATCTTAACCGCGCGCGATCCTCCCGATATATAATCGCCATACGACTCCTCCTTTACCGCTTATTCAAATTGATCGTGAGGAAGCAGACGTCATATCGTGGACCAGTAACTACTGTCCTTTCGTAGAATCCACGAGTCCTTCTCCTCACCCCCGTTTCCGCCGCTGCCGCCTCTGCGTCGAGAGTAGCCGCAACCGCGAATTACTTCGCAATTTCCCGAAATTGCGCAATCCGTGCGGGCTAATGGCCGCCGGGCCGCCACAGCGGCGAGGAACCGGGAACAGGTGGGAGAGGTGGAGGGAAACAAGGAAGGGGGGAGGGAGGTATGGAGGGAGGGCGGTAGCCGACGAGGAGACCATTAATTAAGCAAAATCATAAACTCGGCCCCGTCGAGCGTATGCGCACTCGCACGAGTTGTGCATTGAAAAATATAAACGCGCTGCGACCCGTTACTTTCACGAACGAGGAGCCGCTGCCCTCGCTGCTCTTTGCTAATCACGACTGAGCTCTCCGTTGCGGTTTATATCAGAGAGAAAGAGATATATATATATATATATATTGTCGGCCGCGACACGCTCCAGGAGGCAATTGGGGTTGAATCATTCGGCTAAATCGTCGAACGGTACCGTTAGCGTTGGCTTCTCCGCCGTGATTATCGTAGAATTGTTGTGTTAACCTGGCCAAGCGGTCGCAATCGCGAAAAATCACATTACGCACATTGCGTTTAATTCTTATGTGGAGAGAATTGCGTCGGATTAAAATTGTAAATTTATTTAATAGGATTTAAGCAAGATTTTTTTCTCTTGCTCTTTTTTATTTTCTTTGATGTATTCTTTGACCATGCTTGTGTTCCCTGAGAAAGAGCAAAAGTTTTATTAAATATTATTTCTTTGTATTCAAATTTTGACTTAAAATATACTTGCAGAGCATTAATCTTTGAATAAAAATTCGATTGAAATTAAATCTATTTGCTGTAAAACTTGTTTACTTCTCAAGTTTATATAATCTGTATATCTTTAAAAATTTATATTATGGTTCAAATATTATTATCTTGATAGTTTAGGGTAAAAATTAATTTTGATTAGTAAAACAAACAAAAATTATGAGAACATTTTTATATTGAACATTTTTATTTCTGGTATATTCCTTATTTTTATATTTTCTAAAGAATTAATAAAGGAGGATATTTTGTATATATGTGAAATGTTATTTGATCTGAACTTTGTTTATATGAAATATGAATTCACATGTGGCCTGTTTATATTTTTAGCAGATTATATTTAGTATACAGGTTTTAAGCATTGTTGCGTAAGAGCGGCACTAAAATGTTCAAACCCGGCTATATCCGTGTTGTAATATGATAACGAAACGAGAAATACATTTTTCGTGATTACAGCAGGTTTTGTAGAAATTATGAAACATTACTTAAAGAGTAAAGCAATTAATTATTCGGGGCGATCTCTCTTATGCGTATTTTTTTAGGTGGAAAAAACGTGTATGAAATAATTAAAAGTGGCAGACAAATGTCACCGCGCAATCGTGTGATAAATTTGCTCAAACTCTGACGCAACTAAACAAGATTTTAATGGCGCTAATGGCCATCGGATTTGTCGGCGGTGCTCGCTTCGGTAACGACACGATAAGCCTCGTTGCGAAACACACTCGAAACAGGTAAATTGATCCGCCGAACGTATCGACGTTATGTTTCACACCACTATATACGATACGCAGTGTACATTTATGGCGTGTTACAACGCGAATGTACCCAAAAGCGCAGAGATATAATCTGACGGAAGATTTTATATATATTTTACACACACACACACACATATGCAAATCTTTCATTAATTCTGTAATATGTACAAGAAAAATTAATGTAACATTTGTCGAATTACATAATGTATAGAAAGAAATTTTTTTTTGGAAATTTTATATTAATTTTATACTCTTTGATATATATAAAGATTATATGTATTTTTTACAAACAATTTAAAGCTTATCAATATTTTAAGAGGAAAGAGGAGTTTTGTAAATCCAAAATGGTTTCTTTACAAAACCGTTTGGATCTGCTGAAGAATTGAATGCATCGATAAACGTGAGATATAGAATGGAATAAAGCGCGACATGTGTTACAATAGCGGAGTGTTACAGCGAGGCGAGGTTTTTGTCGCGCAAAAACGTGGAACCCGCTGTTTAAAACGAGGCACGGTAAAACCGATTTTCCACGGTATAGTTTTAACTTCGTGAACGGCGGCATCTCGACGATTGTGCAAAATCCAGTTGGTGCACGATGCATATATATATATCGGGAATAGATTCACATATATATCGCTCTCGACGTTGTATAGTACGTGCAAGAGAGCCGAGCCTCGAGGTGTATCGAGGTCGACCGGTTCTCCATCAGCCGTCAGTCGTTAAGGGACATTGCGACACACGTGTTGCGCGCGCGCGGTTGTTGTCCCTCTCGTCTCTCCCTCTCCCGTTCTCTTCCTCTTTCTCTTTTCCTTCTCGCCGTCGCGAGAACGAGAACTTAGGAATTGCAAATAAATTGTTGTTTTTTTTTAGCCATGTATGTTACGCCAGGCAATCGGGACATCCCTTTTTACCCCGATCGATCCTTTGTGATACTCTAATCAAATCTACATACGTCATACTTTCGGTATCTTCGATATCTATTAATATTAATTTGCCACTATGTGTTTAACTCCGTTCTAAAAAATTTTATATCTAAATGATGAGATCGATGCTGCGATTTTTTTCACGTCGACAACGTTGTCACTATTATTTTTAAAATCCTAGAATATTGGATCTTCGCAGAAAATGATATTGTGTAGTTTATTACGCATCCCCATTGCCAGGCGGCGAAACGTCTTCGTCGTAGATCTTTCAGTGGCGCGCGGATGAAGATGAAACTGGAGTAAATGAGCGCGGGCGGATATTTTTCTTGGCAGCGGTTCCCAATTTTACGTCCAATCTGACGACGTCTCTCTAAAATCTTTACTTCCCTTCTCAGTTTATTCAAAATGAGCTCCGAGGGCAACGTTATTTATTTGTATAGTTTTCGTCGTAAAATCTAAAAGCCTATTTATTTGCGTAAAATCGTTTAAAATTTTTTTTTAGGTAAAAAAGAAAAAGGCGAAGACACGCAATTCCGAGTTCGCGATTCCGATACTTTTCCGATGCGCTTAAGACGATAGTAAGATTCTGATCATAAAACTCGGGAAAATACTCGCAATGATCGGCCGATACACGTGGCAATATAATGATTATATGTGCGAAAAAATATAAAGAAACGACGCGGAAGATATATAGCCAGGATATATAACAAATTATTAAAAGTTGTATTATAACAGATGCGTGTGTATGTGTAATTTACGCTTAGCGATTAAGCGAGACAATTAAGCGCTTTCGATGGAAGGATAAGAACGCGCTGCTGATCCCTAGAGAAAATAAAAATTTAATTGAAAAGCCTCAATCGTGCACGTGTAGAACAATCTAGATAGATAACGTGGGAACGATCTCTCTTCTTTGTTAAATTCATCCTTATGAATTCACAAACATATTATAAAAGAGCGCTCTCCTTCGTTCGGAACATAAAAAGAACATTTACGATGTATTGAATTAACACGATGTACTGTAATATTTCAATCAAGCTGATTTTCTTCTTTAAGAAAAATATTATAGCCTGTGTAGTATTTTGCGATATAAAAGATAAAAAAAACTAATATTTTTATACGTCGATTTTAGTTTAACAAAATCGAGTTAATAACAATTAATGATATTTACAGTCGGAAAAGGTGTCAAAGAAAAGTGAAATCTGATTAAACGATTAAATGAATCTGATTTTGTTGAGGAAATTGGATTGGAATTGCCATACATTTCGCTTTGGCAGACGATTTCACAATTGCATACATATGTTGTACGATTATTAAAATGCCCCATACACATATTTTGAGAATTAAAAATTCGATCACATATTAATAAAATAAACGAAAAATCGAGTTTAAGAAGATAAATCTTTTTTTATCTTTGTCAACAAGGACGAAAAGAGAACGCGTTCTCCAAGGAACTCAGGACATGTCATGCATCGTATCAGATAAGGATAATTATAGCCGGCGGGCGTTCCGATACAACAGTTACACATATTGGAAATGTCTATGACTATTTAACGGTTTCCCCAGCACAAACTACATTGATATCACAGTCGGCTGAGCGTTGTGAGGTAATTAACCTCGAAGTGCCCCCGGGGATATGCCGCGGGGCCACTCACGTCATTAACAGCCGCAAATAATTAATTGTTAATTAAATAATTATCAGTTACCAGCAAATCGGTTATTAACAATCGATGAACCATGCATGGAGCGATGTTCCGGGCAGATGCTTAGAATACATGTAAATTGATCAACGACATATACCGCCGACCAAGAGCGCGTCGATCTATAAGCGCATTTACCGCAAGCGATACATCGCAATGTATTATTTAATATTTAAAGAATAATTGATTATTAAGATATAATAAGATTATCTAAATTTTTTATTTATTTATTAATTTTTTTTTAAATGCTTAAGTTCTACAAAAATTTT